GTGCTGACACTTTCTGCATGGTGGGTAGGGTCATCTCTTTAATAGGCTTGCCCAGGCTTGAAACCCAGTGAGCCCATTGCAGGTCTCAGTGCAAAGCAGCTGGGCAAGCCTAATTAACATACTACTGTAGTATGTAGGTTACATGTAGGTTACAATTTCTGGCATCTCAAGTGAAAGGCACCATGCAAGTTCCATAGAACTGGCGCTCACTCCATTTCTTTGGGCTTCCTCTTTGCAAACGACAGGGCTGTCCTCCACCCTTGCAGTGGCCCCTGTCTAGACACAGGGGGTCTCTGCCCATCCCCAGTGACCCGGGAAAGAGCAGCAGCGCTTCCCTGGCCTGGGCTGCGGAGAAGGGGGAGGAAAGGGAAGCATCAGAGAGAGGGCGGAGTTCCCAGGCTGGCGTGGGGAGCGGTCCCAGAATAAGGAGCTGCTGCACTGGAGTCACAGTCTCAGTCACGTGTCCCACCTCTCTCCCCGAATTCATCACACACCTACACATACACACTCATGTGCACGCACATACATAGGAACATACATGCACACACGTGTGCACAGAAGTCTGGATTTGACGCTCAGATTCAAGCCTGGGAAAAACATAAGGAAGAAAACAATGGCTGTTCACATCAGGGACTTGCTAGGTGCCAGACCCTTTCTGTGCCTTGCCTTGGTGTGGGAGAGAGGTTCCCCGCGATCTCCGCTTTTCACATGGCAAACGCTGAGGGTCGCGGCTGTCAGGAGCTCGGCTGGCTGGGGAGAGAGCTGAGCAGGCAGGCGTTGGAGTAGTTAGGAGTGGAAAAGGACTGGGTGCTGAGTCACAGCAGGGAAATGAGCCTTCAAGGTTTCCCTCGCTGTCCTGTTGCATAAAAAGGCCCCAGCAGAGGCTCCTGAGAGGTCTAGGCATGAAGGTGCCTGGGCTAGGAAGGGGAGCGCAGTATTAACATAAAGCACGTGACCAGCCAGAGGGGCCTGAGTGCTGGACTGCAGCCCTACTTGGAGACTGCAACAAGCACTGGTGTGCACCGAGTCTGGGCTGGGGAGGGCAGCTTCCCCTCTAATTGCCTAAGATCAGGCCTGAAAAAAAAAAAATCACACATAGGCTTTTGACCAGGAGCCAGACTTCTCAACATCACCTAGGCGTCCTGCCCTGGTCCCAGGGTCATAAGTGGCAGAGCTTCAGCTTGAACCCATCTTCCAGCATCTGACTGTTCCAGGCAAACTTCAACTCGCCCCCCTCCTTCCCTTCTAATCTCTCCCCCCTTTTGGAGCTCGCACAGCTTCCGAAGCTCTAGGTCTTTCTTGCAGGGCCCTTGCCATAGAACCTGCCTGCCCCGTTCAGCTGCCAGGAGGCTAATTTTCTCACTCTAGCCACTTAGCTCTGGAAGGCAGCAGTCAAAATTGGAAGAAAAATGAAATAGAAAAAAAAAAAATCAGCTTTTGTTCATGTATCAGCATGTATTAATTATTCCATAAATGCATGGAATTTGATTATGGGAAAAGGAAGAAACAGTGGCAGATGAATCATTAGCATTTGTTATATATGCATGGGCTATTTTATCAAGAGAGCTGAGAAAAGAGTGTAGATCAGACAAAGCGCAGGGCAGGATGGAAAATGCGTGCGGTGATTGTGCACAGGTGTGCGAGAAAAATTCCTGCTCACTGGGCGGAGAGAGGGAAGCAGGTATGTGCTATTAAAATCTCTTGAAACTTCATCCTTAATAATTATGGATTGTTACAGTGGAACAATAGTGTGGATTAAAAGAGGTGAATCCCCAAAAGCTTTTAACACAGTGCCTGGAACAAGGTAATTGCCCAGGATGTGTTGGCTGATGCAACCATTACTACTTCTCATTGAGTTCTGCCTTACAGAAGTCCTATGAGTAGAAGATAAGCTTTTCTTTCTTTCTTTTTTTCTAAAATGTAGATCTTGCTTTGTGTAATTAATGAATGACTTCCTGTGAAACTGTATATAACTCAGATGTATTGTTCATTGTGAACTGAATTGGCATTTCTTCTTTTTAATGCTAGGGCATGTGATCTGAGAGTTGAAAAATCTATGTATCTCCAGTTCTTGCTGTTTTCCATTATATTTGCCCAGAGCTTTAGCTCTGCTTGGGTTCTGGGTGGAAAGCTACACCTTGGTTTCAAAGAGAGCATGCAGGTTGGGGAGCACTGTATGTTAAGCCCTCATGGGTGTGGAGTCTGCCCACCTGCGTGGAACCTCCCGAACCCATAGAAGCAGAAGGGAGGGAGTGAATCACGGCTAGAATAATAGGAGAGACGGAAGCTCATGCACAAGCTGCCAGCTCATGAGAAAGGTATGCAGGATGGTGTCTTAATACGGATAGCACTTAGCCTGCAGGCAGGCAGAGTGGTGGTGGGAACCACACTAGGTAGATGTACACTGTAGATCATTCTAGGAAGGTGTCTTAGTCCATTTCTGTTGCTTATCCCTGAAACTGGGTAATTTACAAAGAAAAGAAATTTATTTCTGGCAGTTATGGGAGGCTGAGAAGCCCAAGGTCGAGGGGCCACACCTAGTGAGGGCCTTCTTGCTGGTGGGGACCCTGCAGAGTCCTGGTGTGGCTCAGGGCATCACATGGCCAAGGGGGCCAAGCATGCTAGCTCTTCCCCTTTTCTATAAAGTCACCAGTCCTACTCCCATGATAACTTATTAACCCATTAATTCATTAATTTACGAATGGATGAATCCATCCATGAGGGGAGAAACCTCATGACCCAGTCACCTTTTAAAGGCCCCCACCTCTCAATACTGCCTCCTTGGGGATTAAGTTTCAACACGAGTTTGGAAAGAACAAACAAGCCATAGTAGAAGGGAACTGGATGTGTTCTTGACTACCTTTGCTGGCAATTTAATCTCCAAGAATGTAGAGGAAACCACACAGAGGCCTTCTATTTGGGACTAAAACAAGTAAAGAAGCACTGGCTGGGAACACAAAGGAAAGGGATGTTTTGGGGGAGAGCAACTCTACTGGCCAGTTGGGTAGTACCATGGTAAGTGCATAGGTGCTGAGATCATATCCCCTGGGTCCAAATCCTGGTTCTACTTATTCCCTAAGTTCCTTTACCTTGCTGTGCCTCTGTTTCCTGCCCTATAAAATGGGGATAATGGTAGTGCCTACTTCATAGCATGGTTGCAAAAACGAAATGAATCAATACATTCAGTATGCAGTAAGTATTCAGCAAATACTAGCTGTTAGTTATTATGGTTACTTGAATGCATATTTGTGATGGAAAGTTTAGCTGGTCATAGTCATGGATGCTAGACTTTAGGGAAATAAAGAATAATTTTAAAATTAACTTAAGTTAATTTTTTAATTAAACAATTCAAAGACAAGCGAAGTAGACATCACAGAGGGGAATTTGGCTTATGACAGTTCAGCAAGCTTTTTCTGTAAGGAGCCAGAGAGTAAATATTTTCAGCCCCTGAGGGCCACAGAGTCTCTGTGGCAACAAGCCAACTTTGCTGTTGTAACATAAAAGCAGCCAGTGCAATGTGTAAGCAAAGGGGCATGTCTGTGTTCCAATAAAGCTTTATTTACAAAGACAGATTTGTATAGTTTGCAGACCCTTGGCTTGAGAAGAATGGGAGACACTACGATATCAAATTCTGCCCGTGTAATTGTAAATGATGTCAGTCAATTGAAAAGCAAGAAGACAATTAAACGAACCAACCTAGCTGCAAAGGGAGGCGTTTATTTCAGAGTGAAAGAGGACATTTGCCAAAATGGAGGGGAGCAGTGGCATCTTACGCATGATGTAGGTCATAAATAACCATTATAGTGTTAAAAAGGAAGAAGATTATGCCCTCCATGAATCTGTGAAAAAGGTTAGGTGTATGTACTCACTTGGGTGCAGTCTTGTAATGCAGACGATGCCATGGCCTCTGTAACCATAGCCACGTGGGTGGGGACATAGAAGTGGGGACCGCAGGACCCAGAAGTGGACCAGGTGACCCTCTGAGAGATGCTGGGCAATGATGCCAAGACACTACCCCGTGAAAACCATGGAAGAGAGATCTCAGCCCAAAGACAATCTCAGCACTTCGATAAGGGCAAGAGATTGAAAAGTGATCTAAAAATTTCCAGATACAAACACAAGTTATATCTAAATGGCGAGATTCTGGGTGATTATTTCCTTGTTTATGTCCTTGAGTAATTTGTATTATAAGCCCATGTTACTCTGAAATGTCAAAGGAAAATGAAATCTATTTAGGATGGAGCCATCTTCTTAAAGAAACAGCCTTAGGACTGATGCTTAGAACTTATAAGGCAGATTTTCACTCTGCATAAATAAAAATGTCTCACTGTCATCATCTGACCTGCAAATTGAGTGTCAGGTCAAACCTGAGTGTCCTCCCTGTGGCAGACATTAACTGCTTCCCCGTTAGCCATTTTCCTACTTTCTTTTCCTGCTGGTATAACTTGTCTTCTAATATATGCCAAATTCGTGCTTTCTCGGCTTCCTTTGTAGTTAGGGCATAGCTAAGATACCTCATTCTGGCTAAGGAGAATTGCTAAGAAATCTGCTGAGTGGCTCCTGGGAGAGGTTCTCCTTCTGTGTGTGTGTGTGTGTGTGTGTGTGTGTAACATGACACCCTTCTAGGGTTTGATGTACTCTGCGAGGATGTGATGTTTGGTGCAATGGCAGCCATCTGGTGACCGTGAGGCACTAAACCTAAGGTTACCGTCCAGCACTCTGGGAATGGTAGAGCAGAAAGATGGAAAAAGTGGGGTCCTTGATTCACTGGACTGTAACTATCTCCTCACCCCATCTTCAGACTTTTGAGAAAAATGTTCTTCTTGAGAATTCAGTCTGGCTGCATACTGAAGTTTCTAATTGTTTCACCCTTTCCAAAATGCTCACACGGAGACATGATGTTGATATTCTTCAAGTTATCTAAACATTGTCAGGTGTTAAAATGTCTCAGCACTCTTGGGTCCCTAATTGTTCTTAACACAAAACGTTGCAGCAAGTGGTCAGAATGCAGTTTCGTAATTTTTATTTCATGTCGTTAGATTTTGTCGCTTTAACTATTGGGGGGAATAAAGGTGTTTTCATGTGGCTTGCTGGTCTCTCTTTCTCGTGGCTGTCTTCATCCTTTCCCAAGCCCAGCTCTGCGGAAGGCAGCAGAAAATCCTGGAGGCTTACATCAGTGGAGAACGAAGAACTCATTCTCTGCACAGAGGGTCTCATGGGCAGGTCTCGGGGAAACACCAGCTTTCTCATTTCCTACAGGGTAGAGAATAATGGCAATGAAATAGCGTTGGGGGCCTGCCCCAGAGCACCAGATTCAAATCCTGGTCCTGGGCAAGTCACTTAAAATGTCTCCGATATTGTTCCTCGTGTGTAAAATGAGTACGATATTAGCTCGGTGGAGGGCAGGAGGATTAAGTATTTGTAAAGTCTTCAACACTATACCTGGCATACAGAAAGAGCTCAATATATGGGTGCTATAGCTCCCGATGCGTGGGAGATCTGCTCTTCTCCAGTGTCACGGTGAGTGGAGAAGGTATCTTTGTCTAGCTGGAGACTTTGTTCTTCAGCAAGAACTTGGGGGGTTGGATTTGGCAAAGAGCAGCTCAAATGGGGATGACCCTCATCTTCTGGGTCTGTCCACTCATGGAGCTGTCCTTCCCATTAACATTTCATCACAGTTGTGTTTGTAGCATGATTTTGGCATGTGGCTCAGTTTCCCTAGAAGACCGGAAGCTCCTTGAGAATAGGGTTGGGGTTTCCATTCTTGCATCCTCCAGAGAGCTTAGCTCTGGGCTGTGCACATGCATGTGCTTAAGGAACGTTGCCCAGTGATGAGTGGATGCATGGGCAGCAGCTACCTGTGATATGAGGAATTGGGGCTAGGTTCTAGAAAGTTCGGGAAGCAGTAGTTCTCAAACCTGGCTACACATTGGAATCACCTCTGGATTGGGTGACCCACAATCTGGTTTCCCTAGTTTCCAAGGACCTGCAACTTTCAATTTTAAAACCAGGACTGAAGGATTTCCTGGGACTCATGACTCTTAGTGCTAAAAGTTGGAAAGTCCCGGGAAAAGTGTAAAAGTGTAAAATCCTGGGACACCGGGATGAGTCACCTTATCAGTAGAGCTTTGAAACATGTCACCGTGATGTCTGGGACCCAGCCCCAGAGCTTCTGATGTAAGCTGGGGTCTGGGTTGAGGCCTGGACGTGGCTAATTACTCAGCTGATCCTGATGTTAGGGAAAGATAGGAAGCACTGATGAGCAAAAGCTCCTGCCTGGGTTCCAGCACACACTCTTGAGCTGTGAATGGCTTACAAGTGGCCTGACATACCAGTCCCCTTCACCTTTGGGGTGCTGTTTGTCTAGCCCCATTAGCAACCTCCTAAATTCATCCCAGTAAGCTTTCCAGAGTGAACCATGTTCTGTGCGGGCCACGGCATGAACGAGGTCAGGACACACTGACTGAGTAATAAGGCATAAAAGGGGTGAACAGAGAATTGTGAAAAATAGGAAATTCCAAGGCTCCGCCCAAGACCATCCAAATCGGAATCACTACAAGCCCGGAAATCGACATTTGAATCAATCAGCCTTCCCAAGTGATTCACGTGTACGCGCTCAAATTTTAGAACCACCAGAAGGATATCTTGAAAGTATTACGAAAACATAACAGTAATATTTAAAGAGATGAACTTTGGAGTAGCCTCACCTGAATTACCTGGGGTCCAGAAAGTAGCAGGTGAGTTAGAGAAGTGGGAACAAGACCGTCTCCCTTTATTTCTCAAGAAGCTCTCTCTGCTCCAGACCCCTTCCTTCTTTCAAAAGGACTTTGTCTCTGAACACCACAGCTGCAACCATCCGCCCTCAGATCTTCCCCTAACTCTTGGGTCACTGACCTTTAGGTAGGCTAGACTTAGTCTCTCGTGGCAGATTATTGTTCTCAAGCCTTGAGTCCCTCTTTCCCTGGGAGCTTGCAGAGAACAAACGTGGAAGGAGTATCCTTCTCTGCAGACTACGAGTGAGCAGCATAGATGCTTGTGATCGTGAGCCACTAAGGTTCGGGGTCATTTGTTACTCAGCATTATTGTGGCCAGAACTGACTAATACACTCCTCAAAGGGAGCAAGATTTAGGGTTTGTCACTGGTCACACCAAAACGCTTTAAAATTTATTACAAAGAAGCCAGGCACGGTGGCTCACGTCTGTAATCCTAGCACTCTGGGAGGCCGAGGCGGGTGGATGGCTCCAGGTCAGGAGTTCAAAACCAGCCTGAGCAAGAGTGAGACCCCGTCTCTACTATAAATAGAAAGAAATTAATTGGCCAAACTAATATATAGAGAAAAAATTAGCCGGGCATGGTGGCGCATGCCTGTAGTCCCAGCTACTCGGGAGGCTGAGGCAGGAGGATCGCTTGAGCCCAGGAGTTTGAGGTTGCTGTGAGCTAGGCATGACGCCACGGCACTCTATCCTGGACAACAAAGTGAGACTCTGTCTCAAAAAAAGAAAAAAAAATCCATTACAAAGAGAAGAGCTCACCGTGGTGGCGAGGGCTTGGAAAGGGGAGAAGACCTGCCCGAACTGGTAGCACTTGTGCACGCTGACATTTCCAAAACGACTGCGGCGCTCCTTCCGGGCAGCCAGTCTCTTCTCCACCCTCGCGTCCGTGAAGTGCTGGAAAGAGACCGGCTGGGGCAGATGGGCTCCCTGGGCCTGGGGAGGAGCCAGAAAGCACGCGGTCACCAAGTGTCACAGGCTCCCTCTGAGACGAGGTGTACTGTCCTAAGCACTCTGCTCTCGTCCATGCTGCTGGTTCATTAGCTGCACTTCTGTTTACCTTTCTTAATTTTCTGTAGTCTGGGGAGGCAGACACAAGGCCCGCCCTCTCTCTGTGTGCCGCTGGGGGTCTGTCGCAGTGGATTGAGACTCCGAGCACCGAGTTCTAGTGGGGACCGTGCTGCTAACTATGGGACCGGGACCCGCCTGTCTCCCACCTCCAGAGTGGGTTATTGATTAAGGTCTTTTTATAGCCTTGCGGTGGCATGCTTTATATAAAAATGGCACGTCAAGGAGGCCATGGGTTGAGAGCCATCCTTCCCAAAGGCAGGAGGCAAGAGAGTCCTGCCCTGCGATTCTTATCTCGCCTCCATTTCAAACTGAGGAGCAAAGAGCCTCGTTTGCATTCTGCAAGGAGAGACACGCACACGGGGTGCCCGGTGGATTCCCCAAACCAGGGCGTCCCCCACTCTGCACAGGCACGGGTCTATGAGTTTTTCACTGTCCGCAGCTCAGGCAGCACCAGGTCCTGCGTTTCAATGGCCTTGACCCCAGGTCTCCACCAGTTTTCCCAGTTTCTGACCATGTCACCCTCCCGGGGGTGCTGGGCCCCACCCTGGTGCGGAGGAGGCTCTTTTTATCTGTGCTCCACAGAGGTAGGGGATGGCTGGCTGCTACTGGTGGTGGATGGACAACAGCTGCTGGTGGCCGCGACACCTGGGAGGGCGGGGTGTGCCGAGCAGTGGGCAGCTGGACACACCGCAGGAGCCTCATCTCAATTAGGGAGTTAGGCCATTTCCTGCCTCCCACGCAGCAGGAAGCAAAGATGTGTGTTGTTTTATTTCTTCCAGCATTAACTAGGAACATGCCAGATGGGCACCGAGACAGAGGCTCCGGAGGCAGGAAGGGGACAGGGGAGCTGACAAAAATCAGAGGTTTTTAGGGATCAGACGTCCCCCTCCCCAGCTAGGGAAACTGAGGCCCCTGGAGGTGAAAGCGAGCACTTTCCCAAGGGCTCTCTGTCACGTTCTGCTGCGTCAAGTGTAAATTCGTATATGCAGCTTCAGGGCGGCGACTCTGTTCCCAGGAAGGCAGTTTCCAGAGTCCACCCGGAAGAGCAGTGGTGTGACGCCAAGAACCCCAGACGGGGCCCACCTACCCGGTCACTCTGGATTGGGCCAGAGCTGACCCAGCGCAGAGCTGCGTCCCTGGCCTCCTCGGGCTCTGCTCTGTCTACTGAAATTGTCATGTGGCCTTTCTGCAGGAGAGTCATGATCGTCACCATCATTGTCACCATCGCCACCATTACATTTTCACTATAGGAGCCCGAGTTTGCAGGCGTCTCTCTTTCTGCCTGGATCACGGCCTCGCTGCCATTGCTCCCCTGCCTTCCCCGGCCTCACTCCTATTCCTCTTTTCAGGGCCTCGATTGTGGCTTCCAATGAAGTGTCACCTCCACTGGAGGCCTTTCTGGCCCCTAATCAGGATAAGCTCCTCCTCCTCTGGGCTTCCACACCCTTGACCCCTGGGTCTATGTCCCCTACTTAACTTACCGCTGGCATCCCCCCACTCGATCGCGCCCCATCAGCCCCCGAGGTCCCTGAGAACAGTGCCTATCTTCCACCCACCTGCGGGAGTTGCACGGCGTGTGTTTACAGCAACTGCCCGACAGAAGTCAGTCACAAGAGCAAGCAATTAAGTTTTGGGGGAGGACATTTCTGGATTTCAAGATGGTCAGGAGGAAGAGTTAGACTAACACCAAACTTTCCAGAGACATCTCTTTCACACAAAGCAAAATGAACCCAGTATCGACAAGGCAAGAGATCGGGGGACAAGACGAGTGACATCTCACATAGAGGACACATAGCAGAGACCCAGGGCAGGGAGGAGGAACAGGGGTTCCCCAGGGTGGAAAAGACCACCAGGAACATCAGAAAACTGTCAGATTCTGAGGATTTCTTCTTCCTCTTTTTTTTTTTTTTTTAGGACCTTGGTGAGGTTTGCGATGCATTAGGACGGACTCTGAGGGTTTCATTCCTCTCCCTGCACTGCTCTTGTCTGGCGGCAGGGAGGTGACGGGGTGGGGGTGGGGACGGCGGTGAAGGGGGAACTGCTCACTCCTGCTCTTTAGGGCGACATTGGCCAGGGCACTTGTTTGCTCAGCCCGCCCCATGCACAGGGCGCTTTTCTCAGTCTGCAAAGGACAAGGGAGAAAAAGGGACCCTCAGAAGACTTACGTCGTGTCCACAGAAGCTCTCTGCCACTGGAGGAGACAATTCCCAGCTTTGTCCCACAGCTTTGGGGGTGCTCAGGCTGGAGGAGAGTAACGGTGAGTAAACAGGTCCCAGGGAGATCGGCAGCTTCCAGTCTGTTCCAAGGAAGCAGGAGAGAAACGCAACGCTGTAGGATCCCCAAGACAGCGCCTGCCTCCTCCCCAGCTAGACCAGGGGCGACTTCTTTTCATCTGACCTTACGGGGTAGCAAGGAAGAGGCTCGTGCAACTGGGAAGGAAGCAGGCCCTCAGCTCAGAGCCAAGAATGAAAGCTCTGGCCAGGAGATAAACCAAATGTACGTGATATTCTGACAGGCTTTTCTGGAAGCTCCAAGAACGTGATACGCACAGTGTGCAATTCTCTTTGCCAGTTTTGCATTATTGGCAAGTTGATCTGCTGATGCAACATACATGTTTAATTAGGTTAATTACAGAATAAGTCACATTACCCTTTTATTTTCCCGCATGCATAGAGTATTATTATTATTATTTTTTACCTTAGTGCAGAAGTCAACAAACTTTCTCTTAAAGGGCCAGATAGCAAATATTTTAGGCTTTGTGGGCTATGCCATCTTTTCTGCAACTATACAACACAGCTGCTGCAGCGTAAAAGTCGCCATGGACAACATGTAAATGAGTAAGCATGGCTGTTTCAATAAAACTTTATTTACGAACGACGAAATTGGACTTACATATAATTTTCATGTGGCACGAAATATCATTTATTTGATATGTGGGAATGGAAAACCATTCTTCATTCACAAGCCATATAAAAACAAGTGGCAGGGGCTGGATGCGGTGGCTTACGCCTGTCATCCTAGCACTTTGGGAGGCTGAGATGGGAGGATTGCTTGGGTCCAGGAGTTTGAGACCAGCCTGGGCAACAGAGCGGACCCTATCTCTTTTTAAAAAAGTCAATCAGGCATGCCTGTAATCCCAGCTACATAGGAGGCTGAGGTTGGATTATTGAGCCCAAGAGGCTGCAATGAGCTATGATTGCACCACTGCACTGCAGCCTGGGTGACAGAGTAACACTCTGTCTCTAAAAAAAACAAAAACAAACAAACCAAAAAACAACAACAAAAAAAACAACTCAAAATAAGCAGCAGGACAAATTTAGCCCTTGGGCAATAGTTTGCTGATCCCTACCTTGGTGGATGCCTCAGTGTATTTACCCCTTTGTTGCAAAGCGAAAAGGCCTAGTTTCTAAAATAGAAATGAGCATTCTGAAGTTTTCTCAGCAATTTCAAAATCCATGTTCAGGCTAGATACCTGGCCCATGACAAGTCTGAAAAAAGAACCAAGCCCGGGCTTGCCTGTCTAACTCAATTACAAAATCCGGGGCTCCAGGGGACCTTGAAGTTTTCCAGCTCATATTCTAGACTTTATGCATGACCACATCTAAACCAACTGAGGGATACAAGCCTCCCTTGTATTAAGAAAAAAATAAATAAAAGATCCTAACTCATGGAGCAAACAATTTCATCATGGCGTCCCTTAATCACTCTTTCGGCCAACTTTCGGGCGTGCAGCACAATCCTGCTCCGTGTAATCTAACTTCCCTAATGTTGTTGGAGAGAGTTATTTATCCTCCCACACGTCTGCACCGAGGGGGGCAATCATGGCACGTCTCCGTATCTAGGTTTTCTTTGACCTTTTCCTCTACGGGGCCGGCCATGGCCATGACCTTGGGCGTGGCTCACTTCCTCTTCCCTAGACGCTTCCTCCAGAGGCGCCGGTGTCATGGGGGCCCCCGGTGGCGTTTGCCGAGGTGGTTCCTGAATGCCTCCAGCAGCCTGGGGTGAAGCACGGCTCTTCTGACAGTATTTAAAAATAGAGAGTAAAGTAAGCCTTTCCCCCAGGGTACCAGAGTAGGCATTAAAAACATAACTCAGAAGGATTCTTTCTGGAGTCTGCCAAGGCACTTAATTTTGAGGCCATGGCGGGATTCTGATATTTTGAAAATTTTTCGTGGGTAGGAGTAAGGTGGCAGTGGGCTGGTAGAGTGCAGAGTCGTGTCTTGCGTGTCGTAGACGCTCAACGAAGGTTTACTGTACACACGAGTGGGTAGGGGAGGGTTTTGAAGAGCATTTTGTCCAAACAGGAATTCTGCTTTCCTTCCGGTCTGCCCCTTGGGTTGCATCTCAGGTCTTCATAGAAACACGTGATATTCTGGGCACAGGGACGAGGGGGACAGGGGAAGGTCCCCTTCAGATCCCAGGCAAATCAAGTCCAGTCTTAATGTTACGACACCCAAGTATATATACATCGCTCCCTGCCTCAAACAGCCGCCACTGGCTTAGCGTTATCTTAAAAGAGGAATCCAGGAATCCAATTTCCTCGAGCTTTGCTGCTTTCAGCTGCATTTGCAATGTGTCCTGCTGCCAGCAGGGAATGTTCGGCATGTGGTAGAGGTCCTAACTGCCCCTTTTTGCATGGGAGAAGAAACAAGGGTCAGAAGAGGTGGAGGGAGAGGAGGCCGGGGCTCTGGGTTACCCTGTTTCCTTGCAAGATACGCAGGAGATATGCAGGGCGTTTGGACAATTTTTAAGTTCCCATCCTTAGTAACCATTTTTTTCTGGGAGGAGGGTGGAGGTGGGATCTGGAGGCAGAAGGAAGGGCGGTTGGAAAGAGGCTACTTTCTGGAAGTGATTAAATCCTGGAGAGAGAGACACACACATATTCAAAGAAAATGGAGAGCATTTTTAAAAAAGATTGTTTATAACCTCAAAATTAGTTCCATGCCCTTGAGGCCAAAAGCACTTCTCCCCTGGTACAGAAAGGGCATTTTTTGCATCTTGACATTAGACTCGTGGCTCTTTAAGGTAAAGTTTGAGTTCTACTGATCTTTGAAGCCCTGGCACCCAGCCCGAAGCATGACATATAGTAGGTGCTTAATGCACGTAAGTAACAGAGTGAACCCTGAATGAACAACCACAACGAGTAAGATGTGCAACGTTTGGGGGATGGTCACGCTTGAAGCTCTTACTCAAGGGGGAAGGAGAGCATGGGCAATATATGTAACCTTAACACTTGTACCCCCATAATACGCTAAAAAAAAAGGATAAACTATAACAGCAAAAAAAAAAAAAAAAAACAAAAAAAACCAAAAAAACAAACAAACCAACAAAAAAACAAGCAGAAATCACAAAGAGCAACAGCAGCTTCCTGGGTAGGTGGGGAACTTAATCCTTCCTTAATACTATCCCAGCCATCCCTACCCAGGGTCGGCCTGTCTCTGCCCAAAGTAGCATCAGTCCAGACCTGGGATAGTGACTTGAAAAAGTGTGCAATGTGCAGAATCCTTTTTCTGAAACTAAATGGAAAAATGCATATTGCTATTAATGTCTCCTTGGCTTATCATGTTTTTAGTAGTTTCTCTAAAAAGAGAATTTAGTTTTCAGGCCATTGGGAAACTATCGGGCTTTGGCTACAGCAGCAATTCTCCACCCTTGTGGTGTGTTGGCGGCTCTGGAGGGGCTTTTAAAAAATCCCAGCCCACGAGTGCACCCCACACCGATGGCGTCTGACTTTTGGCTGGGGGGGGGGGACTCTGGATAAACCCTCCAGGTCACTCACACTTGGGCAGCCAAGGCTAAGACACCCCTGAGCTTGCGTTTATCCGCGCTGGAACACTAGTACCAAACAGCTGCCTCTCTGCTTGTAATTTCGCAGTCAAACCAGGAGGTTTGGAGAGTGGAAATCGTAGTCCTGCAGACTCCGGGATTCGATTGGAGTCAGCACTTTTTATTTTTGACAGTGGCTCCAGAAAGCCAAGAAAACTCTGAGTCTTTATATCAAAAAGTCATTTAGTGGGACTAAAGCTTTATTGATTTTCGCCAACTTTTGAAATTGGGTGGAAACTATTAGCTCTAGAGAAACGTCACGATTTCTTTTACAGCAAGGTCTGTGTTATGATTTTCTGAATCCCTGGCTCCTAGCGTGGGGCCTGCCATGTGGCAGATGTTCAAAAACGCTAAAATAATTACAGCAGCTGCTGCCTGCTGGGTCGGTACTGTTACACTGTCACACCTCACGCCATCTCCCAAACAACCATGCGGGGCAGGTCCTGTCAGTCTCTCCGTTTTATAGGGTGCAGCAGGCAGAATTCTGACATGGCCCCACTGTGCACGCCCTCTCCCTGGATACCATCAGGACCTCTGAGTATGATGGGACATCGCTCCTGTGATTCTGTCACTTTATGGCGAAGGTGAAAGGAATTTTGCAAATGTGACTAAGTCTCCTAGTTAGTTGACTCTCAAGTAATCAAAAGGCACCTGCACCCAAATGTTTATCACAGCACAATTCACAATTGCAAAGATATGGAAGAAACATAAACGCCCATCAACTGATGAATGGATAAAGAAAATGAATGTGCTGTAACAATACACACACACATACCACAGAGTACTACTCAGTTATGAAAATAAATGAAATAATGTCTTTTTCAGCAACTTACATGTAACTGGAGACCATTATCCTAAGTGAAGTATCTCAGGAATGGAAAAGCAAATGCCACATGTCCTTACTCAGAAGTGGGAGCTAAACGATGGGTACATATGGTCATAAGGTGGTGTCATGGACATTGGAAGTTAAGAAGGGAGGGAGAGAGTGGGGTGAGGGATAAAAAAAAAAAATCTGCCTACCCGGTACAATGTACACTATTCTGGTGACGGTTATGCTAACAGCCATGACTGTAGCATTGCACAACTCGTCCACATAACAAAAACACTGTATCCACTAAATCTGTTGACATTATAAATGAACAAATAAATAATAAATAAATAAAGTAATAAAAAGCGAGCCTATCTTGGATGCGCCTGGCATAATGAGGTGAGTCCTTTCAATGAAGGTCCAGCAGAAAGAGATTGAAGAAACAAGCCACCGTGGGTTCTAACGCTGCAAGGAGATGAATTGTGCCAGCAACTCAGAGCCTCAGATAAGACTCTGCATGAGGACTTAACTAAGTCCTGCCAGACTCCTGACCCACCCAGACTATGGCATACTAAGCAGGTGTTGCTTTAAGCCATTACATTTGTGGTAACTTGTTATGCAGCAGAACTCTAATAGATGAGGGAAAAAATAGTGAGTGACAC